GGGCTCGGTTCGGGGCCGCTTTCCGGGCCGGCCGTGGGTAGGGAGAAGCGGGAACAGGACCGAGCGAGCCCGGGTGGCGTTCCACAGAGCTGGGGCCCCGAAGGAGGAGCATGCAAAGCCTCGGATACCCGGCATACACCGCAACACCAAGCGCCTGGCGGGGGCCTGTGCCCTGGATACACACAGCGCTCAGGTGGGCGGAGGAGGATGAGGGGACCGGGGGGTGGTGGAGGAGTGATGAAGGGGCCCCTAACACAACATCACCTGCTGTGGGGAGCGGGGCGGGGTCACGTGACAGATCCCAGCGGCCCGCGCTGACCACTTCTTATCTGTATTATTGTGTCACTGGACACATTGTATCATCATCATCCCCACCAACAGAGTATACACATTGTAATATCATCCTCATCCCCACCACCAGCAGAGTATACACATTTTATCATCCTCATCACCATCCCCACCAACAGAGTATACACATTGTATCATCATCATCCCCAACAATGGAGTATACACAATGTCACTGGATACATTGCATCATCATCATCCCCACCAGAGTATACACATTGTATCCTCCTAATCACCGAAGTATACAAAATATTGTGTCGTATACATTGTATCATCATCACCAAAGTATACACATTGGCATTGAGATCTTTATCACTTTGCTGGGTACACTGTATCATCATCATCAATAACCTGTACATTTGTATGTCCTCATTATGATCACCATCACGCTGTATATACAAATCATTAGGCTCTCAATCACAATTCTGGCTACATTGTATCATCATATTCACCTTATGTCATCATCGTGCTCTCCATCACTGGGCTAGGTATCTCTACCACCTTTATGCAGATTGTGCCGCCACAGTGCTGAGGGAAATGTATCAAAACTGGTTTAGACCAAATCTGGAGTAGTTGCCCGTGGCAACCAATCAGCTTCTCTCTTCAGTTTGTTCAGGTAAGATTTAAAAATAAAAAGAGAGAAGCCGATTGGTTGCCGTGGGCAACTGCTCCAAATTTTGTCTGCTCCGGTTTTGATAAGTTCCCCTTATTGTGTCTTTTATCTGCTCATACACGATATTATGTCATCACGGTGCTGGGTACATTTGTATCATCATCACCAACATATACACATTGTTATTGTGTCATCCTCGGCATCCCCATCACAGTGCCGGGTATCTATAGCACCTTATGCAGAGTGCGTCACCACAGTGCTGGTTACATTGTATCTTCTCTAATGTGTACATATTGTCACCAAATAGAACCGGGTACACTGGAACATCACCAGAATATACACATTATTGTATTATTGGGGGACATGTGCTGTATACAGTGTATCCTAACCAATCTATACAAATGATATCATCACAACTAGAGAACTGAATACACAGTAGCATCTCCGGCATATGTACATTGTGTCGCCACAGTTCAGGGGATAACCCTAACTAGTGTTATTACTATTAACTTATTGGTATTATTTATTATTAGAGGCGCAACGAAATAGAAATGTAAAAACCGAAATAAAAAAATTGTCAGACCGAAACCGAAAATGTTCTTATTTAATTTTTTTTCCAATTTTTTTTAATATTTTATTTTTTATAAACTTTTTATTTTTGTAATCATTTTTTTTAAATTAAATATTTTTATTTTTTACTTTTAGGGGCTCCGGGGAATCATTGGGGGGATCTAAACAGACTCCTGATATTTCCCTTTTAAAATAGAAAAAGGGATTGGGGACACAGAGTCCTCATAGACACCAAGTCCTCAATCTCTTTTTCTTCAGCCTCTGTTATCAATGAACAGGAATCTTCTATACTGAGTGTTCCTGTTCATTGATAACATGAGGACAGAGTATGGTTACTATATCCACAATCATGAATGAACAGGAAGTGATGTAGGAGGTGATGTAGATCACTTCCTATTCATTCATAATTGAGGATATAGTAACCGTACTCTGTCCTCAATTATGTACAAACACTCGGCGATCACATGACTGCTTGTACCCGCTCTCCTCTCTGACACGCTGTCACAGGAAGCTGAGCGAGCGGTGCAGGGAGGAGAGCCCAGCCTCCTGTGACAGCGCTGGCTGTCTCCGCCCCCACACCGCTCTGCCGGACTGTAATAGGCGGCTGAGCGGTGTGGGAGGAGAGACGCTCTCCTCTCGCAGCTCTCGGCCGGCTGTCACTTTCTCTCCTCCCTGCCGGGACATAGAGCAACGGGGAGGAAAGAAACCTGGGATGCGCCCTTGTATCGGCAGGAAAATGGCACTTTCGGCATTTAGCCAAAAGTGCCATTTTCGGGCCGATATATCGGCGCATCCCTAATTATTATTATTATATTATTATTATGGTGGTGCGGCTGGGCACATTGTATCATGGCCACCACCACAGTACTGGATGTATTGTATTATTAATGCCGGGCTGGAGGAATCCCTGGAGCCAGGTAGCCAGACATTTTGGTTGTTGTCAATGGGGCTGCTAAAAACAAATCCGTCTGACTCCCGGATTGGACGGACTGGCTTCAGAGTTCCATATTAAGTTGTCCGCGCCAGCGTTAAAATAAACGTGTTACTCTTATTCTGCACCAACCGAGCTGTATACATTGTATCATCACCCCGATCAAAGATGGAAATAAATTGTGTCACCACCCAGTGTATACACATCGATGTGTCAGGTCATTGTTGTCTCATACCTTGTATCCTCCATTACAGGGGTGGATACATTATATCAGTATACACGGCATTGTATCATAATAGAGCCGCACACATTGAGAGCAATTGATCTAAACTGGAGCAGAGTCTGGAGTTGTTGTCCATGGCAACCAATCAACTTCTATCTTTCCTTTTAAAAGCTTAGCTGAACAAACTGAAAGAGAGAATCTGATTGGTTGCCATGGGCAACTGCTCCCGGATTGTCTCTGCTCTCCCGGATTGTCTCTGCTCTCCCGGATTGTCTCTGCTCTCCCGGATTGTCTCTGCTCTCCCGGATTGTCCTTGCTCTCCCGGATTGTCTCTGCTCTCCCAGATTGTCTCTGCTCTCCCAGATTGTCTCTGCTCTCCCAGATTGTCTCTGCTCCGGTTTTGTTAGATTCCCCTCATTGTATTGTATCATCAGCATGGTCCCCGAATATGTTTTATCCCATTACAGATGTATACAGACAGTTGTGGTGTTCATGGCAGCGGTTTTCATGTTGTGATTTTAGTGAGGGGATCTGATTGGGCGGCTCTTTGATTTATCACTGCGGTGTGTTCTGTGAGTTTTGATTGGAACGTTCTGAGTCAAATAGAATAGCAGCAGACCGGATCCCTGTTTATACAATATTCATGTTCCTTCCCAGTCATGAATCGTTGTGGTTTATTTTTTTGTTTTAATTTAATGTTGTTGTTATTATTATTTGTTTTTTTTTATTGTTGGTATGTTTATAGTGGCGACAATTTTACTTGACGCTTTACATCGTGCACGTTCACTTCATACTTTGATTATAACTTTCCGGCCCTCCTGTTCTATTTATCACTTCAAATGACTCTTCTGCTTGACAGCCGGTGTCCTGTCCTACCTGATATATTTAAAGTGACACTAAACTCGGGAATGAAATCTCAAAAATACATTCGAGTCACTTCACTCTGAACAACAATGTATCTTATTTGTGTATCACTCAGCTGGAGATCCTCCAATCATCTCTGACTTGTCCTTCCTTCTGGAGGGGGGCTACTTTTGTTCCCCATGGTCCCTGTGTGTGTTGTAATGTAGTCACCGCTCCAAGCTTCCTCCCGGGATGGACTACAATCTCAATACAAATGAGTAAACTAAACATGAGATTGTAGTCCATCCCGGGAGCGGGCTTGGAGTGGTGACTACTTTACAACACACCGAGGGACCATGGGGACCAAAAGCAGCCCCCCTCCAGAAGGAAGGACAGTGTCAGAGATGATTGGAGGATCTACAGCCGAGTGATACACAAATAAGATACATTGTTGTTTAGAGTTAATGTACTCAAATAGATTTTTAAGGTTTAAAGTAGAACTATGGGGTCAGGGCTTTTCCGCATAGTTCACCTAGGGGTCACGGGAGGACATAAACTAGCGTCCTCACGTGACCCATAGCACGGTATATAGGGAGCTACAGCTCGCAGTATACTGAGATGCCGCAGCTGGGACGGATCCCGACATTACTGTCTGGATCCACCCAGCTTCGTGAGTGACAGCTGGCTCTGCCTATCTAGAGGCAGAGCCAGCTGTACCCGCCCCCTCCCCCGTCCGTTCTGCCAGTCAGCACTGGAGGATCGGAGTGGGGAAAGGGGGGGAATCCCTGCAGAGAGCCGTAAGTGACAGTCACGGCTCTCTGCAGGGACAGGATCGAGAAGTGAGCAAACGCCGGTATGTGTTCGCTCACTTCCCGATCTATTGAGCCGACCTGTGACAGTCTCATTGTCACGCGTCGGCTCAGATTATGAGGCTGAAAATCACCCGCCTCATAATTTTCCTTTTAACTCCGGAGTTTAGTGTCACTTTCTGAATGCGTGTAACAGTATTGAATAATGTCTGTAAAGGTTCTCGCTCATCCAGGTCACGGGTGTATCTGTAAAAAATAAGTCAAGGCAACTGGATTTGCTGGATTTTTCTTGAAGACGTTTCACTGGTCGTCCGAGCAGCTTTCTCATTTCAGTCATTCATTCTGAATCGAGAAAGCTGGTCGGGTGACCAGTGAAACGTCTTCAAGAAAAATCCAGTTGCCTTGACTTATTTTTTTTACAGATATAGTATTGAATAACACAACTCTGTAGTCGGTGCATTTCAAGTCATTGTTTCTTTTAGTTCTAGAGACCCGTGAGATGGATTGGAAGCCCTGTTGATGTCTTTGTGCCCCGTAGAGATGATTTCCCTTTGCTTCCTGTCCCAGAGACACAACAGGAAGTGAGGAAATATCTCCAAAGGGGAGAAAAGTCTCTTAGGCAGTTGTCCCCATTGGGAAGATATCTCCTCCTGTTCCAGCAACAACTGACATTTTGGGTTTCCCATCAATTTCTGCCCGGGGCAACGAATGTTGAGGGTGTTGTGGGGGACGTTTTGAATCATGTTTGAGGGCTTGTTCACACCACATGCAGACCAGATCCGCATGAGTCTCTGCACACGCAGTGCGGTGTGGTATACCGCGTTTTTGATGCGTTCCGGGCTAATAGGAGCAGAAATGTAATTCTTGGCATGTGCGGAGGAGAGTTTGGCTACCCAATAAAACGCAATAAATGGCTATTTTTTTGTTTGGTTTATACATAACCTGCGTAAAGCTCTCATAAAATCAGCCTCTGATGCCTCAAATATGATTTAAGTCCACTTACAGATTATTTCTATAACTCGGCTATCAAAATGTTCACTTAAAAGCCGAAGTTTAGTTTGCTTATTATACAAAAAAAAAACTTTTTTCCTTTGCATTAAATGCCTTTTTTTTAATATATGGTGATGTCATCACTGTATGTAAAATGTCATCACTGTATGTAAAATGTCATCACTAAGTCCGTGCTTTTCTATGCAATGCAGGCAGATCATGGCTGGTGGGAGGAGCCAGCAGGGTGCTGTGATGTACAGCACCCTGCTGGCCCCTCCCACCCATCAGCCATGATCTGTCGCCACTGCATAGAAAAGTGCCTCAATACTCCTTAAGAGCCCTCAGCCTTAATTCGAGCAGTGGGCTGGCCCTTGGGAGGAGCTATGCAAATATCAAAATGCCTTGCTGGCCGGTGGGAGGGGCCAGCAGAGTGCTGTACATAGCTTCCTGAAAACATCACGGCATTCTGCGTCAGTACTCCTCAAGAGCCCTCCGCTCTGATGCAAGCAGTGGGAGGGGTTTTGCATATATCAGAATGCCTTGATGGGTGGCTGTCGTTCTGGAGAAGGGGGGCGTTCCTATGCTGTATTTGCAAGCAGACCGCCCCCGTGTGATGCTGAGCCTCCATGATTGAAAGAACTAAAATCCATTTAATGAAGGGGGGGAGGGGGAGCCCAGAGAGTTAGGCTGGAGAAGAAAGAGCTAGATGATACTGGATGTCCTCCAGCCAGGAAATGGGGCGGGCTCTATCTGACTTGCTGCAGCTTCTAATGCACATTGTGAGAAGCTTGCAGTGTGCAGTGACATCAGAGGAGAGGAGCCGGTACAACTGTGCAGGACTGGACGGGAGGACGGAGGTCAGATAGAAGACTCAAGGGAAGGCCGGAGGTCAGATAGAAGACTGGAGGGGAGGGCGGAGGTCAGATAGAAGACTGGAGGGGAGGGCGGAGGTCAGATAGAAGACTGAAGGGGAGGCCGGAGGTGAGATTTTCTTGATGGGCTCCCTATAAATCATAGTTCCCTATCTGTGCTTCTTGTCCTTAGAATGTTGGGGTGTAAATACAATTGGTTGCATTGTTAGTACTCGGCGAGCAGCTGACTCATTGGTTGTTGTTATAGGATAGGTGTGGCATTTGATTAATTATATCTGTCCCTCTGTCTCAGGTATAAATATAAAGGTTGGTCCATCCGGAGCTCGCATATCATTAGTTGTTGGGTGCCGGAGGGTTAAACCAGATTTTTTTTTTTGTATGTTAAATATTTTTGGGGGGCTCCAGCGGTGGCGTCTCTGCTCCCCAGGTCCAAGATCTGCACCCCGGCTGTGGCCATTGCGAGGGGCTCATTGTCTTTGTGCTGGAATTATAGTTTTCTTTATGTGATGAGGAAAGTAGACTTGCGTGGGGGATGCATCCGAGTACCCGGAGTCGCGGACTATCGAGTCCTATAGCGGAGGTCATACCGGGAGAAATTAATTACAATCGGAAAATGGATTTTTAAATGACTCGTCTAAACGAGAACCGTCGGGGGAGGGGTTAGAACTAGGGATGCACCTATACTCGTATTACTGGTCCAAATGCTTCAATACTTCCGAATCCGGAACTCCCCGTCACAGGGAGATCTCCCTCTGACCAGCAGTGCCGTGGGAGCATGGAGCCGGCTTCCTTTCCAATCAGGAAGCCAGGCGGTGGGTTATGATTGGCCCGATTGGCTAGGAAGCCAGCTTCACGTGTTGCTAAGCAGCCTGGCTTCCTAACCGAGGAGGCGGGTCATTACATGCCGCCCGTCTTCCTGACTGGTTAGAAATCCAGGCTGCCTATCAACAAGTGAAGTTGGCTTCCTAGCCAATCAGGGAGGCGGGTCATTACACGCCGCCCGTCTTCCTGACTGGTTAGAAATCCAGGCTGCCTATCAACAAGTGAAGTTGGCTTCCTAGCCAATCAGGAAGCCAAGAGGCACGTAATGATCCGCCTCCCGTCTTCCTGATTGGTTAGGAACCCAGGCTGCTTTGCAACACGTGAAACCGGCTTCACGTGTTGGAGGAAGGTCATGACGTGCCTCCCGGCTTCCTGATTGGCTAGGAAGCCAGCTTCACTTGTTGCTTCCCAGCCTGGCTTCCTGACCAATCAGAAAGCCAGACGGCACCTCATGACTCGCTGATTGCTCAGGAAGCCTCGGCAAGTGAAGCCGGTGTTTCGCTAGAACACCGGCTTCACAGACAAACAGAAAGCCGGGTGACGGGTCATGATCTGCCGCCCGACTGTCTGATAATCGGGGCACAATGCACCAGTACTTGGCATCGGCAAGTACCAGAAAAAAAAATATCGGTACTCATACATGATACCGAAAAACATGTATCTGTGCGTCCCCAGTTAGTTTTTTGTTTTGCTCACTCTATCCCTTTTGGGAGATTTCGCTAAACTTCCTGTCCGATAGCAACAGGAAGCGAGAGGGAATCCCTCCAAAGAGAGGGAAATCCCCGGTGGTCACCAGAATTGGTGTCCCCATTGGAAGATCTCCCATCTTTTCCTATTGGCGTTTCCTTTTGCGCGCAGTGATGACATTCACCGGGACACGCAGGGAGGGTGAATCTCCCTAAGCTAAGCTTCCCCTACACAAGTCTTCGGCAGCGTATGGAGTCGTGCGGCAGAGAAGGAAGTTCTCGTCTTGTGTCTCCTCTGCTGTTCTTGTCATTTGCGGGAAGCTTGTAAGTTGCTTATATATTATTAACTCGGATTATAGAGCCGGCCCGGCTGGTTGTCGGGAGATCAGGAAAATCCCCGCCTGGTGACGTGCGAAGGGGAACTCTGCCTGCTGGCCTTGTGATGAGTGATGGATGGACAAGGGGTTCTTGTACTCCCCTTAGGGGCTCCGCTGGTATTTTTTTAAGGAGAGATGCACGTGGTTAAACTTTGCTGACCCAAAGAGCTTGCGCTTTAATCATTGCAGGGCCGGACAAATCCCAGAAGCCGGGTCACCAATGCTCCGTACAAAGCACATCTGGTGTCCAACTCTGATGGTTGTCAATGGATTGGGCAGTGGGCGGGGCTTCTGTTTTATTTTGGAGGGGCTTCTTGTGGTGCAGAGGAAAGGGTTCTGAAGAATAATAAAGATTACATGCTAGGTCGGCAGAATTTGTTACCCAGTGCTGTGTGGTCTTTCTAAATTCGGATATAAATAGAACGGATTGTTTGGGTGGGCCCCGTGTGCTACCTATCTGTGGGGAAATCTTAAAGCTGAACTCCGGACACAAAAACTTTCATCTAAATATTCCTCAATGGCCACAAAGGATATAAATCCGCTGTGTGCGCCAAATGCCTTTTTGAACCTAGATGCGGTCTTATAAAAGTGATGTCGGGGGGAAGACAGGAGGCTGCCAGCAGACCACTACAGGAGGGGCGCAGACTAGACCAGTCACCCTGCAACAGGAGAGAGAGCAGCAGTGACTGGCCCTTATTACAGGAGGGGGCGGAGACAAGACCAGTCACCCTGCACCAGGAGAGAGAGCAGCAGTGACTGGCCCTTATTACAGGAGGGCGGAGACAAGACCAGTCACCCTGCACCAGGAGAGAGAGCATCAGTGACTGGTCTCATCTCCGCCCACTCCTGTAATAAGGACCAGTCACCCTGCACAAGGAGAGACAACAGCAGTTAGTGGTCTTTATTACAGGAGGGGGCGGAGACAAGACCGGTCACCCTGCACAAGGAGAGAGGGCAGCAGTGAGCGGTCTTTATCACGGGAGGGGGCGGAGACAAGACCAGCCAACCTGCACAAGGAGAGAGGGCAGCAGTGAGCGGTCTTTATTACAGGAGGGGGCGGAGACTAGACCTGTCACCCTGCACAAGGAGAGAGGACAGCACAGTGAGCAGTCTTTATTACAGGAAGCTCCAAGTCTCACACTGGGTTACTGCACAGATCTGGAAGAATACACATGATTATTGTCTTTAGCAAATGTTTGTTTAACCTGGAGCTTAATCCTCCTGTCCCATCGCACTCCTGAACCGGACAAAAACCCAAATCCAACTGGGTGGGTGCGGTGGTGACAACGGATGCCTCCGTGAAATGTAGATAGATGAAAGTAGTCACTCGGGACAGTGACTACTTTCATCTGTTTAACCTGCAGTTCAGCTTTAAATACATTTAGATGGCACCGGCTGTGATCAGCTTAACACATCCTGCGGTCCCTCATAGGTTTGCTTTACATAACATATGGACTGGGATTCTCCAGCTTTACAACGCTTTGTTTCTATAGGAGGATGTAGCGAGAATCTTTAAGAGATTACAAATATTTACATAGGGAAGGCACAAACTAGAACAGTCACAAACAATGTAGAAAGCCATAACATGGCGTATGCAAGGCGCACACTACAACATGAGAGGAACATATAACACGCAGCACACACAACAGATACAAATTAGAAATAATAATATAAACATGTAACATGCATCTCGCAGAAAAGGTGACTGAATAGATTTATCAGGGGGGGTGGGGGGGGGGGCTGTTGGTTGTGATATAAGCAATGTACAAGAATTCCTTTTGGGAAACCACAAGGATAAGCCACTCTCTATTTTGTCCCATGTGACTCGTCCCAAGAGCTGGCCATTGAACTGACGCGCCTGCTTTTCTTTTCTTTTTTTCCCCTGCAGGAAGAGGTTGTGGAATTAAAAGAAGAAAAATCCGAAAGCGCTCCGCTCCGCCTGGCTTTGAGATCGAATAAAGGTGAAGCACTTTGTTTCTATCCTCTCGGTCAAGAAAATGCAGATTTCCTGCCTGGCGCAGCATGAGAGTGTAGAGAGAAAAAGGGACCGAGCTAACAAATGTGTCAAAGTGTCTCTCAGTATGTTCTGTGTCATTGCTCTGATGGGCCTGGAGTCTGCTCACGCTATATTGTGAGTCGCCCCTCCTTCCTTAAAGGAGAACTACGGGGTCAGGGCTTTTCCACATAGTTCTCCTAAGGGTAACGGGAGGACGCAAACTAGTGTCCTCCCGTCACCCAAAGTTCAGTATACCGCGAGCTACAGCTCGCGGTATACTGAGATGCCGGGACGGATCCCGATAGTACTGTCTGGATCCGCCCAGCTGCGTGATTGACAGCTGGCTCTGCCTATCCACAGGCAGAGCCAGCTGTGCCCGCCCCCGTCCATTCCGCCAGTCAGCGCTGGAGGATCGGAGCGGGGAGGAATCCCTGTCACTCACGGCTCTGCAGGGATAGATCGAGAAGTGAGCGAGCGACGGTATGTGTTCACTCACTTCCCGATCTACTGAGCCGACGTGTGACAGTCTCATTGTCACAGGTCGGCTCAGATTATGTGGCTTAGTGAAAATCGCTCGCCTCATAGTTCTCCTTTTAAAGTGACACTAGACCCAGGAGTTAAATCTAAAAATGAATTAAAGTCCCTGAACTCTGAACAACAATGTATGTTATTTGTGTATCACTCGGCTGTAGATCCTCCAATCATCTCTGAATTGGTTCTGACACTGTCCTTCCTTCTGGAGGGGGGGGGGCTACTTTTTTTCCCCATGGTCCCCGTGTGTGTCGTAAAGTAGTCACCGCTCCAAGCTCGCTCCCGGGATGGACTACAAGCTCAATACAAATCAGTAAACTAAACGTGAGATTTTAGTCCATCCCCGGGAGGGAGCTTGGAGCGGTGACTACTTTACGACACACACGGGGACCATGGGGAACAGACGTAGCCCCCCGTTCGCCGGCCCGTATAAGCGATCTGGCGGCAGCTGCGTCGCCAGAATCGCTTCTACTGTAGAGCCGACAGTCGGCTTTACAAGTTTAAACAGGAGTCTGTTGAAATGGCCCCGTTGCCAGTGACGTACGGTCATGAAGGGGTTGAGGAATTTGGTAATATTTTTGTACATCACAATAGTCAGGAAGGGGCATTATTGAAGATCGGATGCTAATTGTTCAATCTTCACCCCACTAATGTTATCAGCGTAACGTTTAATAGTTGGAGGTATGCACATAAATGCATTCTTTAAAATGTTCTTCTTGTTTTGTGCTTAGGTCCGAATTCATCTCCGACCTCTTCTGCGGTTTTCCCCTTTAAAGAAGAGAGCCCGCCCATGTCAAACGCGAAGCAAGCGAGCCCTACTGCAGCCACTGTTAAGGAAGAGTGCGCGGCGCTGCCTAAATCTATGCATGGCTTCACCCCCGACAAGATTGTTCGAGTTCACCTCACCCAACTGGACCCTTCATTGTATGGCATCAATACGTCATTTTTACTTACTCCAAAAGAGTCTGTGGTAGCCTCCCGCAACCACCTCACTCTCCCCTCCAATCCCGTCAAGGAACAGACCCGCTCTACTATTACTTCAAGGAGAAATAAACGTCGGAAGGGGAAAGGCAAGAGATTAACGTATAGGAAAGCTCCCGTGAGGCGTCAGCCCAAAGTAGCAGAATCTGTGGTTTTCTGCCAGGATGTCTCCTCAAGGGACAGTCCGGTTGCTCTTGTTGAAGAGAGCCCCGCCGATGAAGATACCAGAGTCCATATAGCAAGTTATGAAAGCGAAGCTTCCAAGGTAGCCCAAGCCAACATAGCTCTTGAAGGCTCTTCTAAACCTTCCACTTCTGATGCCGACCAACCAACTGGACCGAGTTCTCCTTCTTCTCGAGCCGACGGAAAGGTTGAAGAACAAGCCACCACGATGGAAGTTGAACAAGAGAAGTCTTGTCTTCCTCTTAAGAGAAAGGGGCGACGAGATAGACAGGTTCGGAAAGTGAAATGGAAGCTGAGAGCAGAACCCAGGCAAGAGAGTGAAGAAGAACCCAGGGGCAAGGAAAGCGAGAATCTTGAAGCTGATATTGGTCAGGAGAAGGTTGAAGATGAAAGAATACCGGCCAATGTAGAACCTTTACCAGACAATGGAGAGTCTTCTGAACCAAGACCAGAGCCGGTGCCTGTAAAGGAAGAAACTCCTGAGAAGACTTTAGAAGATGGTCCAGATTTGACCCCATTACCTGTTGAAGGACACCAGCAAGGAGATAACTTTGAGAACAGTTCATTAGTGGAGATGCCTTCGGAAGAGGTGAAAGTAATCGACCCCTTGCAGCCAGCAGAACCTCTACCGGAAACGACAGTCTCTGCTTCGATTCAGGGAACGGCACCAATAAGCGAGCCCATCGATCCGGTGGATACCGCCTCGTCCGTGTCTGACCAGCAGCCTCCACCAAAACAGTTTGGCCCTCTAAGGAAGAGCAAGAAAGCCAAACGGACTTGTTCTCTGCAAACGGACCGCACAGCTGCTCAGAAGCTTATAGCCAAGGTGAAGGAAGCCCAGAGCAAAGCCCAGTCACAACTCCCAGCTCAGCCTTCCAAAGCGGTTTGCCCCGAGACCACCGAGTCGGTCAAGCCCTCTGTGAATGCACGTCCTTCCCGCGTGATTAAAATTCCTCGAAGGTTAATTGAAGAAGACCTGCCAAATGTCACCGACGCGCAGGTCAAGAGGGGCCTGTCGGAGCCAGTCGGTATTTTGGCCGAGCTGGAGAAGCAGGTCCTTTCCGACGCGCCTGCTGATCCGTGTTTTAGTCTTTTTAATGAAGATGATCACCTCAACATGCTACCTCCAGCATCTCCTCGAACGGACTCCACGCTGACGTCCTCCACGCCTTCCTCTGCGGCTTCCTCGCCCTCTCTTCCGCCCGCTCCAGCTCCCTCTGCACCTTCTGAAAGTTTGCGCAAGAACATCCTGCGAGCACCGACGTTCCGCTGGAACTCCTTTAATATTTCTGCTCCAGAAGCGCAAGAAACTGCAAGTTCTTCTCAGCCTCCTAAACACCTGTCCTCACCCGAACCTTCGGAGCATCCTGTGAAATCCAGCACCCTTAAGACACCCTCACCTTCCCATCTCCCTTCTGACCCACCTCCCAAGCCCGAGTCCAAGCGCTCTCCACTCCTTCGTGCGCCGCAGTTCACCCCCAGCGAAGCGCACTTGAAAATCTACCAGTCTGTCTCCCTTCAGGACAACGAGGCCAATAAGGCTTCCGCTGTTACAACAGGTAGGAAACACCTGTCCGACCATAGTTCAGCCACGGTGGCCGGCGCTTCACCAGATCTCTCGCCGGGCACTTCCGCTAAAGAGTCACCAACTGTAGGAAGAAGGGCAAACCATTTGGCGTTACCTCTGTTTGCTGACACTGTTTCTGGAGGCTTGCAGGCTCCTCACACATCTCAAATCTCCAATCAAACTGTAAAGCTTCCTGAGCCAGTCCAGTCCCTAAACTTGAAGTCGGAGCGCGGATTACGACCAAATGAGGCGGATGCTTCCGTGAAACCTCTCAAAATGGAGGCCATGACTTTGTGCCCCGGAGAAGTTGCATTGAAGTCCCAGTTCCAGTCTCAGTCCATGAGCTCGCAGGGCGTCCTGACTTTCCCTCCTACTGAACTCTCCCTTTCCGGCACAGACAAGAAAGTCATCAACCTCTTGGAGAAGGCCAAGATACAGCTGTTTAAGATTGACAAGCAGAAGAGTGCTGATCAGGTAAGAGCTATAGGAGGTCTAGTGTGTATTTATAGTGAGCGTACATCTTTTATTCTTGTTTCTCCATATTTAGTCCCCTTAAAAATGCTGCAAGTACAGAAAAATACCTGGAAATCCGGCAAACTCTGAACTTCCTGTTTGAACTGACAACACAGTGCTTTTGCTGCACCGAAAAGCCAAGCAGTGTTGTCGGCACTGCCTAGTTCTGCTTTGTTGGGCTACAGAACACCTCCTTCTCCATGACAAGAGGGGTGGATGTTCTGTAGGCCACAAACGAACTGTGCAGGGCTAAAAAAAAACCTAGGGATGCACCGTTAACGTTTTTCGGTATCGAGTGGCGATATTTTTATCTCGGTCCTCGCCGATACCGGAAGTCCCATTTTAAGGAAGCCAGGCGGCCTGTAATGACTTCCTGATTAGCAGGGAAGCTGTCTCCATGCTCCCTCGTCACCAGGTGACAAGGAAGCATGGAGCCAGTTTTCTGGCCAACCAGGAAGCCAGGGAACGAGACGAGTCATTACACGGCCCCGGCTTCCTGATGGGCCGCGAAGCCGCCTTCATGCTCCCCTGTCACCAGGTGGCCAATCAGAAAGCCGGGGGGGAAATGACTGATTGTCCTGCTTCCTGATTGTCCGGCTTCCCGACCAATCAGGAAGCTAGGTGGCGAGTTGTTACACGCTGCCCGGCTTCCTGATGGGCCGGGAAGCCGCCTCCATGCTCCCCTGTCACCAGGTGGCCAATCAGAAAGTTGGGGGGGGAAGGTAATGACTCGCCGTCCGGCTTCCTACTTGGCCAGCTTCCCGACCAATCAGGAAGCTAGGCGGCGAGTCGTTACACGCTGCCCGGCTTCCTGATGGGCCGGGAAGCTGGCTCCATGCTCCCTCGTCACAAGTGAGGGAGCATGGAGCCAGCTTCCTGGCCCATCAGGAAGCCAGGCAGCGTGTAATGACTCGCTGCCCGGCTTCCTGATAGCGGAAGCTCAGGTATCGGAGCATTTGGATGAGTATTGGCACAGATACTAGTATCGGTATCGGTGCATCCTTACTAAAAACACTGCTTGGGACTCCAGAGCAAAGGATAAATGTGAGGCTTTTTTTTTTTTTTAATGCTGTATATCGGGTGCACTTTAAATCAATGTATATCTTTTTCAGGGTGCTAATTCTTCAAAAGACCCAGCTGGGACCCAACAAGAAAATGGCCCCAAATCTCCGACCATGCAGGTAATACTCAGTTTAGGCAGCACGGGGAGCCTGGCTCAGACGGTGTGATGCTGATCTTTAACGTTTTCTTTTTCTCGTCAGGGGCAGGATTCCCCAGTGCAAGGGCCGCGGATTAAACACGTGTGCCGCCATCCTGCTGTCGCTTTAGGGAAGCCACGCGCTATGATTCCGGAGGACATCCCCAGGCTGAGTGCCCTGCCGCTGTGCGAGAGAGAGGCCGTGGTGCCAGCAGCAGCCGCAGCTGCAGAAGAAGCTCCTGAAGAAGGTGAGAAAACCCGATAAGTACTCTGTTTTACAATTTAGCATCCTCCTTCGGACCTGGCTTGGAAGATTTGCTCTCTAAAAGTGTCCGTTGGATCTGTAGCTGGTACCTCCATGTGGCTACAACAGTCTTCTGTATATTCCTGGGGGAACCATAAGACCCAGGACGCTCTGTTTGTGAATAATCCAAATTCACCATTTTAATTATTTTATTTTTTTCCTGCATTTTCAGAGTCGTCGGCCTCAGAGCCAGAGCCCACCACGGTCACCCGGCAGAAACCTGTCAGGCAGTCGTCGGCACCACCTCCCCGCCGGCCTCGACCAACATCCAGGGTGAGGCTGCGGATGGCCAGATGCGGCAAGTGCAAAGGCTGCAACGTGATGGAGGACTGCGGCCGATGCGTAAACTGCAAGGACAAGACAAAGTTTGGCGGTCCCAACACGAAGAAACAATGTTGCGTGTAAGTTGTTTTCCTACAAAGAGGTGAACTTTTACAGTTTGAGATCTTTTGCACCAGTTGTGCCTTTCTGCAAATCACAAGAGGCTTGTCTGGGCAAAATACCATGTTTTGTCTTAAAGGAGAAGTATAGGGTCAGTGTTTTTCCCCATAGTTCTTCTTAGGGTAGCGTCCTCCCGTTACCCTAAGCTCAGTATACTGCGAGCTACAGCTCGCGGTATACTGAGACGCCGGAACGGATCCCGACGTAGATGTCGAGATCCGCCCAGCTGCGTGACTGACAGCTGGCTCTGCCTATCTAGAGGCAGAGCCAGCTTGCCCCGCCCCCCCCCCCGTCTGTTCCGCCAGTCAGCGCTGGCGGATGGGAGGGGGGAATCCAGCCCTCCCCCTGTCACGGCAGAGAGCCGTGACAGTTTCGAGAGGTGAGCGAACCTGGTATGTGTTCGCTCACCTCCCGATCTACTGAGCCGACCTGTGACAGTCTCATTGTCACAGGTCGGCTAGAACTATGAGGTGAGTGTAAATCACTCATCTCATAGTTCTCCTTTAAATACCTTTTTATATCTGTCAGAAATGCAGTGAGCTCCTTCCTTTTTTGAGCTGTCTATAGTGTCTCTGCTGCGCTGAAATCTCAAGCAGTGTTGTCAGCCCTGCCTAGTTTGCCCTCAGCTGAACTAAACAATACCCCTATGTTAGAGAATTGGAGGAATTTGTCCTATAATAAAAATGCCGTGCACATTCTGGAGGGCTAATATGATGCAACAATGTAAACAGAAAGTGCCTCTGTTGAATGCAGTAAGCAATGTACCTTTCAATTAAGTTATTGAAAAGAAAAAAAAAAATGCTGCTGCGCCTTTAGTTGGGCCTGGTGCAGACCTACGCCATCTGGGATTGCGTGGTCCTGCACAATGCAGGCAGCGATGGCCGCACGGCTCCATTGATTTCAATGGGATGACATCTGCGCGTCAATCTCAGGAAAAAAAAAGTGCAAGTACCTTTTCTCTCCCGTTCATTGAAGGACACAGGGCAACAGATCGTAGATCCTGTACGGTAGATCTACGATCTATTGCCCTGTGTCCTTCAATGAACGTAGAGAAAAGGACTTTAAGGTGAGTACAAAAATCCAAATTTTTTTTTTTCTGCGATACACGACGCGCGGCTGTTTTAGCGATCGTGTTTTCAGAAGCACGGGCGGAATCCCGCGCGATCCGCCCGGCGCGAATGGGGTGCCATTGGAAAATCGGTGCACACCTAGGCGACTCCTGACCGTGCGGAATCGTGCACGATTGCCGCGCAGTGAGGTGTCGCTTAGGTGTGCACCGGCCCTTATAGTACAGTGAGTGAGCACTGTCACCCTAGGACAGGAAGTAAGTTACTTGTAGGGTCACCAGGTGAAAATAAAGGGGTAAAAAGACACCCCTTGTAACTTGTATGGTGACCCTTTTGGGTGAGTTGAGGAAAGGGATGGTGATAAATTCTGGACTCTAGAATATGCTTTTTTTAAACATTTTTATTTAACCCCTGCATTCATTTTTTTTCCCTTCAGATACCGGAGATGTGAGCGGATAGAAGCCCGCAGACAGCAGAGGATAGCGCAGAAAGGTGAGTCTCTGTCTCTCACTTAGAGTATATGAAATCGATGTATAGTCACTCGCACTCCAATTTCATACCAAGCCAATTCCTTTAAAGGAGAACTATGACATGAGTGATTTCCACTCACCTCATAGTTCTAAGCCGACCTGTGACAATGAGACTGTTACAGGTCGGCTCAGTAGATCGGGAGGTGAGCGAACACATACCGGGTTCCCTCACCTCTCGATCCTGTCGCGGCTCTCTGCCATGACGGGGAGGGGCTGGATTCCCCGCTCCGATCCGCCAGCGCTGACTGGCGGAACGGACGGGGGAGGGGGCGGGTACAGCTGGCTCTGCCTCTAGATAGGCAGAGCCAGCTGTCACTCACGCAGCTGGGCGGATCCCGTCATCTAAGTCGGGATCCGCTCCAGGTGCGGCGTCTCAGTATACCGCGAGCTGTAGCTCGCGGTATACTGAGCCTAGGGTGACGGGAGGACGCTAGTTTGTGTCCTCCCGTTACCCCCAACGAGAACTATGGGGAAAAACACTGACCCCATAGTTCTCCTTTAATGACTATAGTAGTGTCCGAATCATAGCGACGTTTTGGAACCAAGTGGTTCCTTCTTCACCAATGCACCAACATGCACCAATAGAGCTTCCCATCTGATTCCTACAATTCAACCCCAACCACGTCTAGACCTATCATACTTGACTGTCAGCTGAACGCACAGACACCCTCATATAGGTTGCTTCCCATCCAGCCAACAGATTTACGGGCACCATCAGTTACAGCGGCAGACTTCGGCTTCAGACGAGTTTTTAGTGTTGCTATAAAAGTTATGGTTCCACCTGTGCATCACATACCTGCTAGGCTGTAACTTAAGCCATTTCCTTAGGGATGTTCAGCTACCAGTGCCGATACTTGCCATTTTCATGAGAACTCCCAGGGTTGCAGCTGGGACCGGGCTCTGGCGCTCCCCCACTGTCCTGAAATCATTAGTCTGTATTGTTTTAGAAAAACTGTCACATGACAATAAACAAAAATGTATCAGTACCCGTATCTGTGAGGACTTGAGCAAGTACCAGTGCTTCTACTTACAAACATGGTATCGGTGCATTATATGTGTGTGTGTGTGTGTGTGTTATATATATATATAATAAACAGATATGTACAAATCCCAGGAGCTCCGTGTGCTCCTTACAAATGACAGCCGCCTCCTAACTTTTTAATTTTTCTCTAGTCTAGTCTTGGAGCTCGAAAAGTATTTGTACCGAGTACGGTTCTTGGTATCGGCGCATCCCTAATTAACATGATTTCCTATTCTCTAATCCCACCCACAGGCCGAAAGCCAATCCGACACCTCCCGACGCGAGAGAGCAGCTCCGAATCGGACGACTTTTTTGCCGAGGTCTGCCGAAACGACGACACGGAAGCTTCCGAGCGACTAGAACCCGGCGTTCCGTCCCAGCGCAAATCTACCCGCCGCTGTGTGAGGCAACGCCCATGCTACGACCTCTTCCCCGACTCCGAGGATTCTGACTTCGATCCGAGTCCGAGCGCCCCCCGCAGGAAACAGCGGCGAGAGTCCGGTAAGAGTTGTAGACTTTCATTACCTTTTACGGTCCGGCGTCTCCATGCGTGATGTTTTATTTTTTTTTAATTTTTTTTTAAAGTCCGGAGATCTCCCTAGCCTGTTTGCTGTTTCTGATCTGTACGTATAGTTCTTTAGCGACGTGTTTTCTAGGGGGAGAAAAAAATCTGTTTCTTGTCATGTCACAGATTTACTTCCTCAGGACTCGGAGGAGCAGAATAAGCCACGCAGAGTACCCCAGCAGCCCGTGATCCTCCGCGCCAGGTCTGGCCAGGAGCAGGTGAGTCTACTGTAGCCAGCTAGTCTGCAGCTTCTGTCCCACGTCCACAAGTCCTGTCTTTTTCACAGTCTCCTCTCTCTCTCCCGTTCCGAAGGACTCAACCTTGAATGGCACATCAACCAAAATCAAATCTTCCGACGGAACCCACCGTCTACGCGTCGATTTCAAGGTATGATGTATAGATTTATTTTTCTGTACAGCAGGATTTGAAGAGGATGGGAATGTTGACACTGTCACTTTAGCCATTAAAAGGGGTAGTGCCCCTCTTCCCTGTTCTAACCAAACCCACTCTCCTCGATCCGACAACCGCTGTTCCAATCCTTACTGTCCTGGCCTTGCTTGTGCATTCCCTTATAGACTTCAGCGTGACTGTCTCTGATTGTCTCTGGCCTTGGGACACGGCCCCATGGTGCACTAATGTGCAAGCACAGCCAGGGCGGTGATTTACACTGATAGATGTAATCGGGGGAACTGCAGTTGTCTGATTTGAAGGGGGTATGCATCTGAGGAGGAGGGTGGGCTTGATTAAGTCGGGGAAAGGGGGCAAAAAAGGATGCATTTATTTTCAACTGCACTTATCCTTAAAGGCCCCCCTTTCCACTCACTGATGCACCCCCCTGATTCTCCTTCTTCCATTGCATCCTCCAAAGGAGGTGACGTCGCCTCCTCTTACAGCCAGCAGTGGTTAGGTTTCAGTGCTTGGGCCTTAGCACTGCACACGCTCCCCCACACCCAGATCCAATCCAACATTTTGGGATGGAGAGGAGCAGTAGGGGATTGCTGGAGAGGTGTGTTATTGGGTGGAATGGGGTTGGAGTGCCATAAATGTGCAGAGACTGTCTCTTTAAACCAGATGTAAAACCTTTGTTTAATGTTTTTGTGCACTTACTCTTTCTGTGTCTTTCAGGAGGACTGCGACCTGCAGAACGTGTGGATGATGGGGGGGCTCAGTATCTTGACGTCTTTCCCCGTAACACCGACTCACGTGTGCCTGCTCTGCGCCAGCCGCGGACATCATCAGGTAAAGCAGCATTCCCTTGATGTGGTGGGGTTTCTGTCTGACTTTCTGCAAACTCATTCTGTCTGTCTCTCTCGCTCTCTAGTTCTTGTACTGTCAGGTGTGCTGCGAGCCCTTCCACACGTTCTGTTTGGAGGAGTCCGAGAGGCCTTTGCCTGAGCAGGAGGACAGCTGGTGCTGCCAGCGCTGCAAGTTCTGCAACGTCTGCGGACACAAGGGGAAAGCCAAAAAGGTAACCAGCATCTGTTATAACACTGAAACCCTTTCTGCTTCCTCAAAAATGGACATTGAGTCCATTGAGGAGATTTTTCAGGTGTCCCATAGGGTTAGTTGTTGCTATGCAGACCTGCGCCTGTTTCTAGAGACTATTGTGATGAATAAGAGTAGAGCAGTTTCTACATGAAAACCTTTAAAGTCCAACTACTGCCAAAGCTTGATAGAACGTCATAACTTGCCATCTTTGGTCCTTATTGGGGAGAACGCCACTGTCTGTGCAAGTGACACCAGGGAGGAAGACTCGAAGCGGTAAAAAAAAACCCACTCCTAATAATTGTGCTTTTGTTGTTCTCCATTCATATATGAGAGCGATCCCATCACTTCCTGTCTTTGCCACACCTTGCCAGAATAGGAAGTGAGAGGAAGTCTGCTCAAAGAGGACAACGGCAATAAAGACTTGGCATAGGTTCTAACACCTCCAGGAACTAAATTAAAGGGTTTCTAAACCCTCCGTTTTTTTTGCCTATATCTACTGCTAGCAAGCAGCCAGGACTTACCTCGTTATCGCTGCTCGCTCCCGCGCCGAGAATCAGGAAGTGATCGTACGGCCGCAAAGGATCTTGGGGCGGGCGCATGCGCAGTTCCGATTCTCGCCAGGGATACGAGCAGAGAAGCAAGGTAAGTCTATGGACGCGTGCACCCGCCTGCAGACACCGCTGGATCGGAGGGACAGAGCAGTCAGCGCTGGATCGGAGTGACGTCACACCGCTGGAGGGACACATGAAAACATGGGGAAAGAAGAGGAAGATCAGAATAAGAGACATCATTTGAGGTAAGTGCTGACATTTACATGGGGGGAGGGGAAACATTTTTTGGCTTTAATGTCACTTTAAGAAAACCAAAATTAATGAAATGAAACGATACTGTAGTAAGTGAAACTGTGCAAGCCAGACTTAAAGCCGCAAAACCTTCCACGGATGTCAGGATCACATGGAACCCATCCTCATCCCAAACACACAAACTGAAAGTGAAGGAAGGCGCACTATAGCCTAATCTTTTCTTTTCAGTAAACTTTATTTAAAACATAAACACCATCAAACAGATCCTATTTTTCAATGCCTTAAACCCCTCCCAGTTTGAAAGGGTTTGGAGAAGGAGTACGGTCTGGTTGAGGGTGTTTGTGATACATAGTTCCCTATGGGATGAAGGTTATTGGGGGGGGGGGGGAAGCTTTGTCGATGGTGCAGCTTCTTTCACGTTCGCCTAATTTGATGGACAATTCATGCAAATTACAGACCAGACCTTCTACTCTGCATCCTACAGCCACAGGGCAATGCCCACAAAACCTGCCCACTGCTGGTCCAGCAGCAAAGAGCATCTGAGGGATGCGATATAGGGCACCTCACAGATTCTCTTCTCCCTGCAGCTGGAGCTAGATAAAGTGCTAGCAGAGAAATGATAACGTCACAACAAGTAAATGTACAGATTTCTCGGATTTGTATTTACCTAAACTTTTTGGGATTTTTTTTATTACAGGGGGGGGTAGACTTTAGATCAAAAATTAGGTCTCTCCTGGAAGGCTGGGTGAACTACTTGGACTTCTCTCTCTGTTGTATGAATCATTCTCTTTTATTTCCTGTATTGCAGCCTCTGCTGGAGTGCGAACTTTGCCAGACAAACTATCACATTTATTGCCTCGGACCAAATTATCCCGTTAAGGTGCCACGCAGTGGGAAAGGCTGGGTGAGTAGGAAGGGCGGACAGACCCATTTTGCTAACCGATTTACTGGTTTGCCCATGTATGCTAAATTGGCGTGCTCATACTTATCCTGTGTTTTTTTATTTTCAGTTGTGTTCCTCCTGCGTTCGCTGTAAAAGCTGCGGCGCCAGTCCCGCAGTGGACGCTGACCTTGAGCTGACGGAAGGGGGAAACCTATGTACAGCTTGCTCCACCCTATACAATAAAGGTGAGCTTTATGTTCTATACAATATTCTCTTTACCTTACTGCACGTGTTTCACACTCCTAAGCACCCCCTTCTCTTCCGGGCAGGGAGCTTCTGTCCCATCTGCAGTCGCTGCTATGAGGAGAACGACTACGACAGCAAGATGATCCAGTGCGCCAAGTGCGATAAGTGGGTGCACTCAAAGTGCGAGGGGCTCTCTGGTGAGTGCATGGCCTGGAACATTAGGAATCTAATGGGTTGTTACGCGGCTCTGTTGGGTGTAGTGCGGAACAAAACAAACCACACAGACCTTTGGGGGGATGTCGGTCAGACCTCAAAGCGCACAGAAATTAAATGGAGGCCGTCAGAGGTACTTGCAGGTGCTGCAACATTTACACTGTTTTCAGGGCAGCTTGCTGTACCTGACAATATTTTAAGTTGTCTATATTGACATTTACAGCTCAGAGGGGACCTGTACTGGGAAAGCTGTGCCCAAAAAGATGAAAGGCTTGTTTACAGTGTTGTCTCTTAACTCCCTACAGCTTATCTTTCCAGAATTCTCCTCCAGGGCAGTGGACTGGGATAATGGCTGTGCCCACCTGGAGGAAACTCAAGACTAGAGAGTTTAAAAGGGATCCCAGTAGCCTGTGACCTCAGTTTTTGTACAGTTGCTTGTTAGCCCCCCCCCCCCCACCCGTTTCAATTTTAGAGGTCCTAGATCCCCTCTTCTGCAGCTTAGGTCTAGAAAGGCAGGCCTGTGGGTGAGTGGTCCGGGGGAGGCTGTCTGGTTGGGGTCACATATGCCATACTCTCCCTTCCCTATTGTGACTCCTTACCTATATGGCAAGGTCCTCCTGATCACTCACAGAAAGAAAAGTCCGGCCGTACAATGCAAACTGCTGAAGAATTTATTGTAGCACACAGGTAGATATCGTCCTACCATGGGTCCTCGTCACTCTTAACATAGACGTCTCTACAATTAAAGTGACAAAGTATTTTTTTTTTTCCTCCCCCCAATGTTAGTGTCAGGACTTACCTTTAAATCATGCCTCCTAATCCGATCATCTTCTTTCCTGTAGTTTTTAGCTTTCCCTCCAGCGCTGCTGCGGGACTCCGATCCAGCGCTGACTCCTCTGACCTCCTCTTCGCTCATGTCCCACGGTGTCTGTGCGGATGCACGCTGCTCTGTATACTTGTCTCTCCTCGTCTTCCGGCCGAACTGCGCATGCGCCGCCCCAAGTTTTTGCATATATTTACTGCTTGCTAGCAGTAGATGCATGCAAAAAAAAGTGAGGGTTTAATAACCCTTTAAACAATTAGGAAACATGGAGTAGCTCTACCCACTTGTATCCAATCCCGCTGCTGGAACCTCTGTGCCTGGTAAAGGTTCCGCCAGAGCTTCCACTTGGCTATAGGTAAAAACTGGCATCCGTCCATCCAGTACTTAATTTGTAAGATGGCATGAAAGCAACAAACAAATGCTTACACGTTTCAACCCCCAAACTGGGCCTCAGTCGTAGCAAATGATTAGTCTCTATGATTCGGGCCATTATTAGGTGAAACATGTTAGAGTGAAGAGGATACATGGCAGGACGATGTGTACCTGTGTGCTACAATAAATTCTTTAGCAAAGTTGATGGTCTGCTGCTGGACTTTTTTTTTTTCTATAAGTGATTAGTTATGTTTGAGCAAGTTGGGCTCGGCTGCTGTTCACCCGCCATTCTCTCTAGCACTGCCGTGAAGGAGCGGTGATACTGGGTTATGGAAGTCAGGTCCTCCTGATGCTCCATGTGGCGTGGGCAGAGGTTGGTCAGTGAAGCAGGCACCATTTGGCCCCTGTTGGGTTCATACTACTTTAGGGTCTGGCTGTGGGTCTGGGACAGGTTATTCATGGTGTTGTGTCCAAGCACCCTACTTCTCAAACGAGCTTTTAACACTCCCCCACTGTTATGTTCTGGTTTCAGGGTGGCAGGTTGCAGCAGCCCTATCCCTCCCTTTGGTGGAGAGGAGCTCCGGCTCATTTTCCTTTTTGAAGGGAGCAAGAACGGTTGCGGTTTGTGTTCATGGTTTGTGCTCTAACTCTGTCCCTCTCTCTCTCTCTCTCTCTCTCTCTCTCTCTCTCTCTCTCCCCTCCTTTTTGCCTTCAGATGAGGGGTATGAGATCCTCTCCAACTTACCCGAGAGCGTGGTGTATACCTGCCCGCCGTGTTTGGGTGAGGGCGGCACCATATGGAGAGAGGCCATGCTCTCGGAACTGCACGCTGGTTTTCATGAAATTATACAAAGTCTTCTGAGCTCTGAACTTTCCTCGCCTCTCCGGCACTGTGCACAGGTAATCTTCATCAATCACGTGAGGGTTTGACATAACCCGGGTGCAAGAATTGCTTTTCTTTTACAATACATTTTTAGGGCAGGTTCACACTATTTTCCAGACCAGATCTGTTCCAGAAAATGGTGTGAACCTGCCCGCAGTTCCAGTGCATGCCAGACCAGACAAGATGAGACATGCAGTATTTTTCTGGTCTGGTCAGGAACGGACTGCGCTGGTGTGAACAGAGGCCAGAAAAAGCATAGGGATACATTAAAGCAGTGGTTCTCAACCTGTGTAACCTCAGGACCCACATTTGTCCTCGGTCATTAAGCCCCGACCCAAGTTGCACTACAATGTGAGGATACATGGCAGGACGATGTGTACCTGTGTGCTACAATAAATTCTTTAGCAAAGTTGATGGTCTGCTGCTGGACTTTTTTTTTTTCTATAAGTGATTAGTTATGTTTGAGCAAGTTGGGCTCGGCTGCTGTTCACCCGCCATTCTCTCTAGCACTGCCGTGAAGGAGCGGTGATACTGGGTTATGGAAGTCAGGTCCTCCTGATGCTCCATGTGGCGTGGGCAGAGGTTGGTCAGTGAAGCAGGCACCATTTGGCCCCTGTTGGGTTCATACTACTTTAGGGTCTGGCTGTGGGTCTGGGACAGGTTATTCATGGTGTTGTGTCCAAGCACCCTACTTCTCAAACGAGCTTTTAACACTCCCCCACTGTTATGTTCTGGTTTCAGGGTGGCAGGTTGCAGCAGCCCTATCCCTCCCTTTGGTGGAGAGGAGCTCCGGCTCATTTTCCTTTTTGAAGGGAGCAAGAACGGTTGCGGTTTGTGTTCATGGTTTGTGCTCTAACTCTGTCCCTCTCTCTCTCTCTCTCTCTCTCTCTCTCTCTCTCTCTCCCCTCCTTTTTGCCTTCAGATGAGGGGTATGAGATCCTCTCCAACTTACCCGAGAGCGTGGTGTATACCTGCCCGCCGTGTTTGGGTGAGGGCGGCACCATATGGAGAGAGGCCATGCTCTCGGAACTGCACGCTGGTTTTCATGAAATTATACAAAGTCTTCTGAGCTCTGAACTTTCCTCGCCTCTCCGGCACTGTGCACAGGTAATCTTCATCAATCACGTGAGGGTTTGACATAACCCGGGTGCAAGAATTGCTTTTCTTTTACAATACATTTTTAGGGCAGGTTCACACTATTTTCCAGACCAGATCTGTTCCAGAAAATGGTGTGAACCTGCCCGCAGTTCCAGTGCATGCCAGACCAGACAAGATGAGACATGCAGTATTTTTCTGGTCTGGTCAGGAACGGACTGCGCTGGTGTGAACAGAGGCCAGAAAAAGCATAGGGATACATTAAAGCAGTGGTTCTCAACCTGTGTAACCTCAGGACCCACATTTGTCCTCGGTCATTAAGCCCCGACCCAAGTTGCACTACAATGGAACGCACGGCAGTGTGGGCTGCTGTGATGGAGCTCCATCCGTATGTGCATTGCTTGTATTGTTCCCATGCGTGCCCTATAGAGGTCCAGGGAGCCAGAATGTGATGTCACTCCGGTTCAGGCACCTCTACAGGACATGGGAGCTATAAGCATTGCACGTATGGATGGATCTCCCTCGCAGCCATACCCCCAGCACACCCCACCTCAAGTTGACACTCGGCACTGGGCAGCATATTTTGAATGGCTGCTTGGTGTAAGAATGGACAGCGCTGCGCTAGGGGGAGGCTGAGGAGCCTCTAACCTAGAAAAGTGGAAGGCATGCGGCAACCCACTAAACATTGGGTCGCGACCCACCGGTTGAGAACCAAGGCATTAGAATACACAGTCTGGTCTGGAGATGATCTGGATGTGGTCTGAATGGGCCCTAGAGAGTTTCAAAGAGTGTACTAGAGCACAAGTCTGTTCATTTACAGGGATAAAAAGAGGAACGAGTAGAGTTGCTGATTCCGTGAAGCTGATGCTGGTGTGTCTTGGGTGGTTGCTTGTAGTGCTCTTGACCTGTGGTGGGTGTCAAACCTGAAAAGATCCTGATTGTACTTAGGGGTTAGGGGAGGGGGGTAGCTGACTCCAGTCATTCTGTTGCTTATCTGGCAATCAACACCTGGGGCATATAGTGCGTGATCCAAGGTGTCCTGATATTATGGAACTTGCTCATAGATTTCATGGAATTTAGGTTTTTCTTTAATGATATTTTCTGTTTAACCTGTTAGGGGTAGTCTATTTCTATGCTCTTTACTAGAGCATGGCTGCTGTGAAAACGAAGGTTATCAATATGAATTGTATAGAGTTACAAGTCTTCAGGTTTTCAATTTAGTAGAGCTTCCTAGGGCAGCCTTTCTCAACCAGGTTTGCCTCCTGGCTCCCTTGGGTACCTCCAAAAATATTTTAGTGAGATTGTTATGTAAAGGGGGGAAATGAAGACTGAGGTGAAGTGGGCTCCTGATGTAAAAGGGGAACTCTGATGTGAAAGTGGGAGGGGGTGTGGACTATGAAAGAGGGGCTTCTGATGTGACTGATGCAAAAGGTAACTCCGAG